AGAGGAAACGGAAGTGGGCGTGCGTCGGCGAGATCTCAACGGCTGTACAAATTCGGCGTCGCGAATCGCGGGATATCACCCCATCGTGCTAGTTTACGTAAGTTGGGCGTTATTGATCTAATCACGAAAACACATTCATCCGAGGGGAGGAAGTTATGTCGCCAGTTTTGAACACGGCGCGTTCTCTTCAAAAAAATAAAGAGGAAATTACCGAAAGAACGATGTGCTCCAAATGCGAACATAAGACGTCCTGAAGACGTAAATTAAGATGTCCTTTGACATCATGCCATAAAGATATCTTTAAGACATCTTAAGACGTTTTATGTCTCCATTTTTCTATTTTTAATATATATACTGTTTGGGATCTCAGGATGAACCTGCGGATTCCCATAATCGCGACTTACTTAGTTCATTAATTCCAGCACGAAAAAGAGTCGTGCTTGCAACGACGACTCTTTTCGTTTTAATCTCGATAATTCACTCGACTTTCGGGATCAACTCTTCCTCGCCGCGCAATATCCGGATGTTGAACTTATCGGAATCGTGTAGGTTTCGAATTTTTCGTCGTTGACGGAGAGATATAAGGGAGGGAAAGGGGTTTCGAGTCCACGCAAAGTGGAGTCGCGAGAGGATCGATTCGCGCATAACTTCACGGCTGAGAAATTCGCGACGCAGTTCGCGAGCCGCGTACGCATAACGTTCGTACATAGGTACGTCGTGAATAATAACGACGGTGTAATGACGCGTAAACGATGATGAACGGAATTCGTAATAACACCCGCGGCCGCGGCGGGCTAGCAGACGAACTCCCTCCCCCATCCTGCCGCCCAACGCCGCCCCGTTTCAACGATGTTACAGGTTATGGCAGAACACGAACGGCAGAACACATACCTGGTATTGTTCTTTTTCTCGAGATCCGCGCTGGTCTCGACCTCCGGCGAGGTGGGTTTGGGCACATCGGGTGTCGGCTCCCCGCTGTCGTTCTCGGGCTTCTTGCCCATCCAGGTAGACACCTGATTCGTCAGGCCGGAGAACATCTTGCGACGTGCGTCGGCGAGATAGAAATCTGCTCCTCTCTGTCTCTCTCTCTCTCTCTCTCTCTTTCTCACTTCCTCCTTCCGATCGAACGACGACCGTTACTCGCTCACGTACTCGCCGGAATCGAGCGTAACTGTCACCGAAATCCTCGCGAGACCGGAGTAACGACGAGTACGATGATACACCTCGTCCGTCCTCGCGACAGCGCAGCCACGAACTGCGTAAGCAGCACGTGCACGCGCGCAACTCGCGTTGCGCACCCGTCGCGACGCCAACGCCGCCAACGGCCTTGCGCGGCAGGCCCGCGAACTACCAACGACCATCGATTGACGATTCTACGCGTCGCGACGCGCGACGCGCGACGCTCGCCACCTGATTCTCGGGGTTGATTGTGTATTTCGAAACCGGGTGAAAATTTCAAAAGTGAGCAAATTCACTAGGCATTGACCAACCTAATTATATTTTAAATGAATTTGCTCATTTTTGTAATTTTTATCTTATTTCAAGATGAAAATCACAAGACACAACCTAGGAAAAAATGTTATAGTATATATGGATATATTTTATATATATATATATATTATATTAATTGGTATTATTTTTGTATATGAAATATATCAATTTTTTACGTAATTATATATAATTATCAGGGAATGGAAAGTTACTTTTTAAAAGTAACTCGTTACAGTTACCGTTACTTGAGAAAGTAACTTTTCGTTACTTTTCCGTTACTTTTTTTTACTATAATAGTTGTAAACGTCCACACGTTTGTAAATTTGCAATATGCAAATAAAAATAATTTCTCGGTTTGTAACTAAGCAGATTGTGAAAGTACAATTACAATGTGTATGTGTAGCTATAGGAACGATAATATGACAATA